GGCGGTCAAGAAACCAACCAGTGATAGAAAACGCCGTGGGTGAGCTCATTTTACCCCACCCCCCTAACACTACTCCCATGGACTGCGACGATAAGAACTGTACGTTGAACCAACTGACCTGAAACTCTCCATAGCACTTCTTCCTTCCTTGGTACGGTGTCAACTCATCGTAAGGAGTGTTGAAGCGCTGGAAAAAAAAGAATTTGATTTCGTTTGAGAAATACGCTGATGAATATTGATCAACAACAGTTAGCTTTCCAGAACAAAGCGAGGGCATAGTTTGGTGTACGGCCCTCTCAATAATACACATTCACCTCCTGATCTCCCACGCATTCTTCCGGATTCCTATGCACCCTCTTGTTGAGCAAAAACATCGTCGATGACATACGCCATCAATACTCAATCCCACTACTACTTGGTTGGCCCATAGGTAATGGTGTTTTTTTATGACTCGGATTTTTGTGCAAAAGAAGAGTTCTTTAGCTAAGGCGTTGTCAGTCGTTTGATGGAAAATTTCATGCTGTTTTGGCACGGCGCTAACCCCTTCTCCACCAGTTGTGGAAAAGGGGGGCGAGTGGTGGAATGACTTTAAAACCGAGCCAAACTCAGCCTCCCTTATCCGCAACGAATAGGACTGTAGTTGGCTCGATTTTTTTTATGGTGGTCAAAACTTTATCAAGTTTGAGGCCCTTGAAGTAGACAGTCAAGTCGACAAAATGAGCAATTTCGAGAGCCCCTTCTACTTGCAGTTCATCGAGGTCCTACTGGAAAAAGCTTATTCGGAAAGTGCACGACCACCAGGCGATTTTTTAGTTCCTTCCCCTCGCCTCCCCAACCCCCCCCCTGCTTTCACCCCACCTTTTAGCCGAAAAACGCCCTCATTTTCGTCGGCCGCACTCCATGTTCAGGACTCAAAAATTTGTAGGAATACAGCTGGCTCCAATCCAGATGAAAAATGAAGAAACCCGTTAGAGAACTTATAATATTCTCTATAAAATTCAATGAACATCTTCGAGAAAACAATTCATTTTCCAAGCGAAATTTTGGTATGAAAAGAACGCTATTACTTATGTGTCAACCTAATATCACCTGATTCCACTCCCATACTAATGCACAATTTCTACCCAACTCGTTGTTGACATGTATATGCCTTGGTCAATGAACCCTTAACATGATCCACTTTCTTTCCCGTTCTTCTCACAAACTCTCACAAATGCAACCTCGACGCCAAAATACATCGCCGTGACATACACCTGCCATAACGAGTACGTCTCTCTGAATGAAAGTAGCAAAAACATAGAATACGACAACCCACCATGGGACAATCGGAAATGTAGTGACCAGTTCGATAACAGATATGACATTGATATTTGGTTGGCGGGGCTTTCTTAGGTGAGCACAGGAGCTCCTCGAATCCAGCGATTTCGTCCTTACTGAAACCGTCCTCCAACGCGAGAGGAACTGATGCACTCTCCTAAAACGAGTGTACTCTCAGCGTCAAACGTCGAAATTCCTTTAGATCAAAGGAAGCAACTATTCATTACTACATACAGGTGAACACTGATACAGTTACCAACCACTTTCAATATTACGGTGCGATTCGGCTTTGTGGGGAGCACCGGATGGCACCCAGCTAATGTTGTGCAAACCTGCGAATTCTTGTAACCAAAATCTCTTTTGTACCATTCCTTCACGCAAGTTTGCAAGTCTCACCGAAGTGGGACCTGTTATTTGACATGAACCAATAAAAGGAGCCTACGAAAGTATAAAATGCCCCCCAAGCCGAACAGCCCCGATATTTCTAGTAATAATTTTGTTTCGCTCAATAGTTTAGTGTAGTCCAGCACCAAAATGCTTCAATATGGGCACGATGAGGATAAGGTTAAAGTATAACCGTTTGTTTCCTTTCAACGGTTCTCTTCCTGATCAGCCCAACCAGGGCTAAAGAATTACTCTGAAATTACTACTTTTTCTGGTCCCCGGTCAATGGTGAGCCTTTCCGATAGCTTAAGTTTAACCAGCAAGATTCCTAGTATAACAACCGGCACTCTATAAAACCCTTCTTTTAGGAAGTTTACTTCTTTTCCTGCTTTTTAGCACTTCACCTTCCTCTTAAGAATGCCTTGCTTCATAAAAGTAGTAATAATCGAGAAAAATTCCAAGCCCACCCCTCGATTCGTTTCGCAAATCTGCATGACTTTTCTAAGACGTCAATAATGGGCAAATCACATGAGGGGCGACCCCCAATGACTGAGTGTATTGACAATTGCCGTAAAAGGTCATCCATGTGATCGGAAACAGTGACAATTGTTTCAAAAAAATGACGTCATACATAAAACCTGTTCTTCGTCGTGAGCGCTTTACTCGGACAGGTGAGTAGACGTCTGTCTCACGGATGAAGGCACCTTTCCGATCTAGAAATTGGACGAAAAGCAAAGTGCCACGATAAGTTCGCTTAGGCAATCACAACCCCATTTAGAGCTAGCATAGTCAACTCTATCCCCATTTCGAAGATGACCTAGGGAGTCACCAGTCCATTAAAAAGCACCCCTCCCTTTTGAGATAGTCACCCTCTTCACTACCTGAAGCGCAATCACATTTTAGGTAGATTATTGGCTTCAAGGCGAATGACCAAGTCACAGTTTTGAAGCTGCAGGTATTCCGTGGTCCCGAGCAGGTTTGGCGTCGGAAGGAGGGGGAGGGGGGGGGGGAGAAAGAGAGGGTGAAATGGCGGTAGCGGTGTGATCCGCAAAATTTCCTTTCCCAGCACGACCCGCCGAGTTTTCCTCCTGTGGCACGATTCTCCCCTTTCCCCTTCCATGTGACATCTTGGCAAATTCTTTCGACTCCCTGCCAGTTTCCCGAGCGTTTTTTTGAAGGAAGTGGGAGGGGGATATCGACCAAGTATTAGGGTCTAACAACAGAAATAATTATTATGCCACTGTGGGTTTATATGGAGCGCCGGAAACGGAGAAAACAACAACCGAGAGGTTTCCCTTGCGGCTCGAAAGATGTCCTCTCGAAGCCAGAGGCGACCCCTCTCCTAGTCGACCAAGTACGAACTCCCTCCCTCCTCCCGATTGGATTCTCCCAATGACGCTGTACCCTCATCCCGACAAAGCGCCGTGATGTTGACGGGAATCAGTTGCACCTAAAAGAGCAACCCCAACAAACGAGGAACTGTCTGGTATTTCTGGCCCAGACAAAGACTGGTGCAGCCCTCTCTATTTCTTCTATATCGGAAAATGGGGGG